AATTTAGGGATAAATTAGGGATAAAAATTTAGGGATAAATTCTGGGATAAAAATAATTTGGATGAAGTGGGACAATTTCGGGATAACAATTACGGGATAACAAAATCTGAATATAGACTAAGTAAGATTTGTCAGTTTTCAATGTAAGTTGTATGTCTCATAAAGGCAAATGGCAACAGACTCCAGATTCTGAATGTGCCCAGTGTTCAGTTGTATCAAATAAGTATAATGTTAGGGTGTGAGTATAACCAGGTGGAAGTCCTAGCCACTGGAGTGCTACGATGGACTTCAAGCTGTATATTAAGCTCTCTGGTCACAATAAAAGTGGGAAAGTTTGTAAGAATTAAAGTTGGGCTATTTCAAATCAAGAGTCTGTCAAACTCATCAGGGGATAATATTACTTGTACACCATTTAAACAAGCAAGTAAGAAAACATTGGAAGTAAATGATGTTTGGGGTAACGACTAGGAACCAGGGTGAATGAAATTCTCACTAATATTATCAGTAAGAGAAGGGTTAAATAAGAAAGTAAGATCCTGGATTGTACTTTATCTTTGCACTATTGCAAAATTCTGGGAAAATATATGTATGACTTATTGTGAGTGATTGTTATTCAAAGAAGCCCTTAGCAAATATGAGCCAAGATAAAGCTTGTTGCTTGAATGTTAGTATCACTTAAGTCACCTGGAATTTAGTCGGAATCTATTTTGAATCCAGAATCTACTTCAGATAAAATGAAAGGGGAATTTTCTAACATATATATAAACAATTGAACACAAGAAGTGATATTCTGTGGATTTTTATATAATGTATAAAAACGACTCTATTTCTATTTACTAATCTACACAAACATTACACAATTTAGTACTGTCGAGATGGTATATCAAGTAAATAATCTCTCAAACCAAACATGCATAAAACAGCGCCGCTAATGGAAATTCAGTTAAACAATTTGCAATAAAGCCTAAAATGTGTCTTTTTCCAACAATGTAACTCAACAGTGCAATTTTATATAATCCCTGGTGGGGTTGAAATCAGCTCTCTATACTACTCACATGAAAAGTAGAACATCATTTTTCCACTCTCAGACTATGGTACAATTGGCAAGTAAACAGGAAACAGTATTTTGAAAATATTCTAGTATCTATAATGAATTAGAATGTGGTTAACATAGAATTAGACCAGACATGGAAAACTAGAAGGGGAGGGGGTGTCTTAAGTCCGAAATGGGCTTCGAATGACCATGACCCTTAAAAGTACTTCAATGATCAGTTGTTTGAAAATGGTCCCATAAGCCCGGGATTTCACCTTTAAATAACCCAGAATTTAACATACAAATATACAAAGGAGTATTTCTAATGTATCAATAAAATTTACCCTGTGAACAAACTAAATACAGTCCCAAACTGGATTGGGGGGGGGGAATGTCGTATAGAGATGTCTATGAACCCCTGGAATTTGCAGTTGACTCTGGTTTAGAGCAAGTTACATTAGGTTCGTAAAGACCGTAACTTTCCGTACACCTTGTCAAATATTCCTAAACGATTCCCTGTGGGGATGTTGTATGGAAGGTTTCATAAAGAACCCCGGGAACTTGCTTTCGACGCTGGTTAATAAGTTTCATAGGTTCTTTAAGACAAAAACTCTGCGTGTAACTTTGCGTTAACCTTGTCAAATGTTCCTTAACAATCCCTGGGACAATTTAAACATGGGATGTTCACAAGGCAACTAAATAAAATTAAAGAAAAAAATCAAGTGTATAGATACTTCTTTTCAAAGACTAAAACTCTGCAAAAATACAATTAAATCAAGTCAATTACCTTTACCAACTCGTACACCTAAGTTGGCTTATCTGCGGCAATATAAATATCCAATTTCAGTGACGATTTAATGTTTAAAATTCCACAAAATGTTCTCCATGTCTGGCCGGCTTGAATTCGAATCATAAAAGCACAGAAAAAGACAATTCACTTAAAACGTACTTATTTACTTAAATCAAGCTTAATAAGCCTCACTTTGGATTTTGTAGACAAACCCAGACAACTGCCCTTTCTAAAAAGTTTGTAACGTAGCATTAAACATGAAACTTGGCCGAAAACCTTCACATTAAACTCTTATTATGAACAAAATATATATGTTGACATTAATCCTGTAAATAATATTACATGAAAAACACAGGAGAAGGTTATTAACCTAAATATGAATATAGAGTAAAATGATTAAACTTTAACCATACTTTAAGAGTATAGCCAAAGTAGTTATACAGACTACCCTTTTACAGAATTTAAATTATTTTATAACTCTTGAAATATTGAGTAACTAAAAACACAATTGATAAAGTGAAGAGCAAAAAGTTGAAAACAAAGTGACAATCCTTCAAGGCAATTCCATTACCATGCTCAAAGTAATCTGAAGGATCGTCACAATATGTATGTAAATTATTAAATGTAACCTGGGTCCAATGAATGGAAAGCTACAAGATCTGTTTAATTTTAGTTGATTACTCGTATTCTTATAGATTTACCTAATTGGCCACATGTAACTGTGCTGTGGACGGATAAGTGTTATGAACAGATCATGTTATCGATTATTTACCAGTACATCTTCATTGATCGCATTATTTGTAATGATTATTTAACTGTACATGTCAACATTTTGATATGAAAAATGAGAAAATGGGGAGATCTGACAAAAAAGTTTCAAAGTGTAATATTTCTCTTAAAATACCAAAAACAAATATGATGGCAGAGTATGATATTGAAATAAATCAAAGAATAGCATGAACATTGTGTAAGTTGTAGTAAAAGCAGATTTCAATTTTAAAATTCAATTACTGCTGTGAATCAGTGAATATCAAATTAAAATAAAAGTATGTGCATTTCAGTGGAGAAATTATTGGTTTGACCACTAGTTGTATAAACCAGAAACAGCATTCAATTCAAAATGTTAGCCTATACGCATCCACTCCATGAAATATGCTAAGAATGCAACAAAATCACTGATTAGACCTAATTGTTTCCATGTAAAATTGAACAGCTGTAGTAATGTAGAGAACATAAAATAAAATTGGGTTATGCTGCTGCCTGAACGCATTTTATGGGCATTACAACATTTTGTGCTGAAGAATAAATTTAAGTAATTCCCTCAATCCATAAACCACTGCATTGACGATGGGAAGGACAAGGCCATGGGATGTACAAGAAAGTGCTACGATTTTGAGATATGAATTTGAATTGGTGTCTTAGTGACTTCATATACTCTTGTATATAAGATATTGTTATGAGTAAATGTACATTACTTGAAATGTGTAAATATAAAAATACAGGGTGTGACTGATATGGAATTTTTCCAAGTATATTAAATATTATGGCATGAAACATATTATATTGGATTATCAAGTTGTATAGTAGTAAAATATCATGCTATTTATGTTAAATCTGCATTTTGTACATATAAATAATATAATATACAATTAAATATAAAACTAGTTATTATGTTTAATCAATCACACACTACACAGGGTAGTATCAGATTTAGTGAGCAACCTAAACAAAAAAAATTCTTTAATATTCTTGGGTCATATTTCATATCAATCTTTGTCATGTCTCATCTAATTCCAACAATGCATGCTATAATTGAGAAAAAGTTAATACCGTCTGACACAAAAATGCCACCCACCCACATTATGTTGCATAACTTTTTTCTCTGCATAAGTTCTGATTTGTGCTTTGGGACATTAAAACTAGATTCCATGGAGCAACGCCACAAGAAGTTTCAGATGACTTCATGGAGCTTAATAAACTAGATGCAATGTTATCATGAGTGTTACAAGATGTAACGTGTGTCTATGCCTGGATTCTACACAAAAATGCCACACCTTTTGTAACATAATTTTGTAATTACGTGTAATTAATAATGATTTTTCAATGTCAACTATATCATTTTGTGTTTAATTAAATTGACTTTCCCAAAAATCATTAGTTTTTACAAAGTTGTGTGACAAAAGTTAGGCGGCATTTTTTGTGTAGAATCCAGGTGAACCTGCAAATAAGGAATGGATGACATTTAAGAGCTCATAGAAGTGCATCTAGATGAGCTAGACTTCTTGTGGAGTTGCTCCATTGAGGTGTACAAGACTTGTATCAACATCAGAGGTCTGTAAAATGAATTGGTTCAGTATTCAAATCAAACCATCTTCAATATATCTTTCCGATAAATCCTGCCACCTTTTGATAGATCAGAGAATATATTGGCTAGCTTGATGATGTCATGGATTGAATTTCTACCTACGGCCAACAACATTATCAATTTAGCCAATATATCATAGTTTTTCTAATGTATCAAAAGAAGCTCAGAACCACATTAATATTAAAGTCCATTGGCAAGGGTGAATTATAATTCACACTGGCAATGAGGCTACTGTACTTCCTTGTTAAGCCTCGTGTCCAATAAAATGCTCTGAAGCAGTAGATCATCCAATATTTTTCCTGCAATGGTATGATCATTTCCATCATCATTGTACATCCTTGTTGACAATCTTTTGATTCAGGTTTTCATTAGAGCTTCTATTGTTATCCTTGTAAAATGGCTCGATTTTCTATGATGTTAATACAATTGGATTAAGTTTGAACATAGCATGTTTATGATTGGCTCACAACCACAACACCACGTGTCATATGAGTTTATGTCCTTTTTACTTCCTTGTAGTATTAAAGGGATGGTGTCAGATCATCAATGTGGAAAAACAAAATTTCATTATGGTTTGCCCCCACCCTCTCATCTAACAACATTTTAGAATGTTGATTTGTCATTCACTTGAATACAAAAAGGTCAATGTTATTTTGATTTTCTAACGAAACCATCCATCACTCCCTAACTAACTAACTGGAACTAACTTCAAATTTCTGTTGATAATATTGGACACCATCCCTAAACTTATTGAATATGAATATCAAATGAATATTGTTGATGTTCAGTTGCCCACACAACATGGCTATGAAAAGCATAACCATAATGGTGAAATGCAGGTGTATTTACACATCATCATCTCAATAGATAATGCATAGCTATGTTTTTCTAATTGTCTAAACACTGAATGGCATGACAATGATCAAACACAATACATTTTAGTCTTTTGAATTTATGAATACTTTAGAGTCATACTTTTACTAGTCAATGTTAAAGTAAACAGAATTTCTGAGTATAAAATGGAGTACTTGATCAACAGTTTTTACATTCCTGATCAAGATGCAAATTGGGAAAGATTTTGCTGCTCTTCTGAGCTTGACCATTTTTCTTGCTACACTTGGAACAGTAGGTAAGACAAACTCATGTTTATTTGTTCCTAGTATTTATTTGTACTTATTTGTTAAACCATAGTCATATTATATAACATGTGCTAGGGATATGAAATCTGTCTTTAGGTGTTGCATTACTGTTTTAGGGGTCTCTGGATTCATGGAAATCATTCAATCATTTACTTTCTTGTTGCTATGTTCTCCTCAGCATTTCTTTCATTTCTCATTTACCTGTAAAGTTAAGAGTATGCTTTCATTTTGAGCAGCCAAATTGAATGAAAGTACAGTTGGTCCAATATTTTGCTATGTTTGCACATATTCATCAAACATTTTATTAAAATGGATTCAAATATCAGCAAGTACATGAATAGTGTGTAAAAATGCTTTACCAATTAGCATGTTTTGGAAATGGAAGCCATGATATTTTGTAATGAATTAAATTGGGTCAATATTGCAGTAGTGTTATTGTTTTTATTTCATTCTAAAAATATATTGTATTCATATTTTTGTCCAATCCTCATAGCTAAATATTGAGATAAAATTTTTTAAAAAACAAACACCTTACATACACCTCAATGTATTAATTTGATTAAAAGTTGAATGCTTTCATATTCCAGTGGGCAAATTCCCATACCCATGGTCATTTGATGATACGTATGGCCATGGAATATGCCAAGGTAGTGGAGATGTTCATCATACAACTTTTGACGACTGGCGTTCTATTGATTTCCAAGGACCATGTTTGTACACCCTCACTAGACTATGCTGTGGATCATGTAATAAAAAAGAAGATAAATTTTGCCCACTGACTGATTTTCATGTTAAGGTAAGTGGATATTAGAAAATGTAGTTGGCATTTCTCAACACTTTTCCTGTAAACACATGCAGAGTATACTCATCGCAGCATATTTTCAATTAATCATGATATTGAATGTGAATTAGATTAAACAAAGACCTGTGGGAACTCCTGCATATCCCCTGGCTTATGTGGACTATATAGTTGTGGAAATTTGTGGATATTCAGTCATCCTGGATGAAGGAAAATGGGCAGTTGTTGAAACTACAGTAAGTAATCCCTATTTATTTTTAGCGATACAAGAGAAAATTCATTAGCTACAAAACAACTATTAAATGCAATATTAGTTTTATTTAAAATTGCAATCTAGATTCCACATCATGAATGGTTATTTTAGCTGCAAAAATCTGTAAATTAGTGAATGGAAAATGTTCCACTGTCAACAATACTATTGGTCATTTCATGTAAGGAAAATTATTTATACTTGTCTTTCTGGAACAACTGAACTGATGATATTCTGAAACCAAGCATTTATTTATGACTCAAGCAGTAGGATTTCAGAGATATGAGTCTATTTGGACTGGTTAACACTATTTTAGCTATTTAGCTGAAAAGTTATATTTACATCCTGTAGACAAGTAAAGGATATATAACAAACAATTGTGCAATTTTTGGACAGTCTGAGATTGAGATGCGTGTGTATGGCATTTATTTAGTGTCTTTATTTGACTTTTGAATTTTATGTTTGATATTTTTTTGTTTAAATTTTCACTTTTAATTCAAACTTTGAAATTTTTGTTCAATCTTTTGAATTCTATGTTTGATAATTCATATTTCTTGTTTGATATTGCACTTTTCAATTCAAACTTTTAAAGTTGTTGTTCAATTTTAGTAATGTTTATTTAAAAATCTTTCTTCGACATTTGATATTTCAAAGTTACAATTACACATCTCATCCATGTTTGAATCAATTTTAAAACTAGCTTATTTATATATCAAACTGGGAAAAAATGATTTGGAAAGGCAAAAACTAAACATCAAATACCAAAATTCAAGATGTCAAACACTAAAAAATCTTTTATTGCAGGATCAATTGTAGCTTCGATGTTCAATTTTCAGCATTCAAAATGATTGAAACTAAAATTCCAAAGTCATATTCATTCAATTTTCTATCCAAAAGTTTAAACCAAGTTCCAAGTTAGAAATCAACATTGCACTTGCAAGATCATTTTTCTATTAAACAGGTTGGCCTTCGGTAATTTCGGTATTAGTATGCCAATGCGGATCCATTCATAGCTTCCATTGAGCCAATCAGATCACTTCGATTCTTACCAATGCATATATAAAGATATATAAAGCCCATGCTAACTTAGAATCAATGACAACTCCTAAGAAATTAATACAATTTACCCTTTTTATTATACCTGATTATTTAAAGTTCTTTGTAAGACAGTATAAAAAAAGTAAAATTGTTTATATATGTTATTTTTATAGTTAAATTCTAAATGACACAGTCAGTTGTTCTAACTTCACCTTGATATCTCAAAATACTGATGATACTCTAATAGTAATGATATTTTAAAGTAAAGATGCCCATAAATGGGACATAAAATAATTATTATATTATTAATAAGTGGGGCTATTGACTGATGATACAAATGTTTTGCATTGTGAAGATCTTCCCGGATGAAACACCACATAGAGTAACTCAACAGAAAAATAAGCACATTCATCTGAGATGTATTATAATCACATTGAGAGTCACATTGATGAGTAAAATGTTTCCCTTGTAGCAAGTGAATGAGAATTTGTTAATGTAAATGAGTATAAATTACTCATACATGTACAAGTAAATCAATAATCAAATAATAAAAAATGTCAGATATAAGAAAAATTTCATAAGGTAAAATATTTTTTGAATTTTTATTAACTACTGACACAGAATGATATTATTTATAATCAGTAAGTGGAACAATTTTGGGAAAGGTGCTTGCTATCACTGATTGTACATTTTATTTTCAGCATGCAAACTATTTATCTAACCCATTTACTACCTACTCAAGTAGTGTATTGAGTCTACCCAGAGTTTGGAACTGTGAAGGAGGTACTCAATTTAAGCTTTCAAAATGGGGTACAAATGGTATTCAGTTTGAAACTAAATTTATGATTATTTACAACATGCCAGCCTTCGTAAAGGTAAGTACTGGTCCAGCCAGATATATTGTCTTCATAATAAAACATATTACATTATTACATATTACTATTAGATATTCACTCACCTTGTTTTCTCCAAATTATTTTTTTCCTTTCAACTAATAGATTCTCTGTCCGCGATATTGTTAAAGTGGTGCATTACTTTTGACATATAACAGACTAATAGGCTAGACATAGAACCAGTATGTTAATGTCACCCACCATGATTATGATGTCTATTGACCTTATAAAAAGGGCATTTTATTTGCTTCCTAGTCAACTCGTACCCAAGATTATTTTCAATATTATGGGTGCATATTAGAGAAAAAATTGAGTTTGTAATGCTTTCATGTTATAATGTGAATCAAATAAGCCTCAATATTTTTTTTTGAATTTAGAAGACATTTTTTCTCCATGAATCAGTAAAGCATTTTTTATTAAATAAAATAAGTGCTTGAAACGCTCGTTCTAAACATTATTTTGTCAAACATATATGTAAATAAATATTATTACAACATTAGATCTGACACTTGTTCCAAACACTCATAAACATACAATATTTTGAAAAATGATATTATGAATATATGGAATAAACATATGTCTCTTCACTCAAACATCCTGAATCTGTGACCAATATAAAATAATAGTCAATATAAATTGACACTCAGCTCAAAATGTCACAAAATTAAATCAATTTCTTCGGAAAATTCTTCTTCAAACTTAAACTAGTATGTAATTCGTTATTCAATTATAATGTGTATATCTATTCACATTCCCAGTCCAACACTTGATTCAAAACAAAATATATACTTGGGTACGAGTTATCTTGGGTATGAGTTGTCTTGGGTACGAGTTGTCTTGGATACGACTTGTCTTGGGCATGAGTTGACCAGTTACCCTTTAGTATGCATTTCTTATTAATATTGAGTATCAAAGTACTAAAACTCTTACATTGTACAACAGGTCAAATTGTCCAAGAAATATAAATCCAAAGTTTGTGGAATTTGTGGAAACTTCAATGGTATTGCAAAGGATGATTTAGTGACACGTGATGGTATAGATGTAAGCGGCTACCCTGATGGTTTTATTTGGAGTGTTGCAGATACCCATATTGGTAACAGTTGGAAAGTCTATAACCCTGGGCAGCCTGAGTAAGAATTGATAGATTAATTTGCTTCTGGACTATGATTTCATTTGTATTATATTTAATACAAATATTACGATAATAAAATTTATAATTATTAGTTGCAAGGAACTGGATCCTAGTAAGATTCCCACAACCTGGAAAGGCAAGAGGGAAGTTTCGCCAGAACCAAGTGCTCTATGTGAAACATACTTGGCTCAAAATAAGGCAATGATAAAGTACTGTTCTCCTAAAGACATTGAGTATGCATTGCAAGAATGCAATGAGGATGCCAAAGGTAAGAGCCATAGTTGTACATGGTTATGAATAATCATTTGTCTAAGCTAGAAATATTCTTATCAGAAATCCAGTGAAGTGACTAATATGTTGGATTAATATGAACTAGAAAATGGCAAATCCAAGGATAAGCAAATTCCAACGAACAAACTCATGTTCAATAATCTTCATCTGCTCTACCCTTGATTTGAAGATAATAAAAGACAGACATAAAAGATAAATCAACATTTCCACCAATTTAAGCAACATTTTGGTATCTGGGAATCAAAGGCACAACTTAAAAATACAATAACTATGATCTAATATGATAATAATATAACCATATTTTGAGGATATCGTTAATTACAGCAAATTCCCACTTTAGGCAGCCATTTTGAATGTTCTTGGGCAAAAATGAGAAAACAATATCATAATTGTGATCTTCTTTACATGTTCATTGTAATTTCTTTCAATCTACAAGGGGCGATCCATATATTCTGATAAAAATGCTCTCATTTCGTGATTTTTTCACATATCCCTCTTATTTTTTCAGAAAATGTAGATTATGTAATTACACATACAATGCTAAAATATTATAGCTATATCTTAAATTATCAATGAGATAAGGTTGCCATGGTAACCTGTATTAAGGGTAGGCAGGTCAATCAAACTATAACATATAAATATCATAATAACTTGATATTTTAATTATTTTAAAACATGCGGAAATCATGCATTTTTCTAAAAGAGTTTGGTATTGTTACTCTTTGTTTGTTGCTAAACAAATGTTTATATGTGCTCACTATAACATCACATGTACAACAAATCACAATAGCATTGTAGGACAGAATGGGCCACTTGACATTACATGTTATGAGACACACCAAAAATCAAATTGTCAGATGAGGTTAATGTGGCTGATGCAGAGTGTGACATTAACGGATACATTAGGGAATACAATTAGATTTTCTTTTCTTTTAAGAATAAGTTAGAGGACACTGTCAGAGACATGCATGGACTTATTAAGTGCATGGGCAAAGTGTTATATCTGCATAAAGAATCTATAGGTAGTATTGTAAAGAGGAAGGCATGGTCACTGTTGAAGATCATCCACAATCTGGTTGCAAGAAGAGCTTGCTGACAGAGAATAATACTACGATAAATTGAGATGTTACTAATGAAAAGATAGCTATCCCATTGTATAAATTATCAAACAAGGGTAACAGGGGTATGGAACAGATCAATGAATAGTTGGCAATGACTGGAAGATGCGTTTGGTCTGCTTAAAATAGGTACCGAGGAATGATTAAATTAACATATTTATCTATTTTTGACGTTATAATTTAACCGACCTGCCTACCCTAAATACAGGTTACCATGGCAACCTTATTTCAAAATAAATTTAAGATATAGCTAAAATAGTTTAGCATCGTATGTGTAATTACATAATCTACATGTTCTGAAAAAATGAAAGGGATATGTGAAAAAATCACAAAATGAGAGCATTTTTATCAGAATATATGGATCGCCCCTTGTATAGGTATTATATTGCCATTCTATGAAGACATCAGGAAATTGTTGTGAATCCAACTCATAATAAATTTCTGAGTTTACTTTTTAGCCTCGAATCTAGTGAGTCAGGCAGCAATAAAAGAAGCCATATGTGCTGCAATGGTACAAATGATGGCCAACTGCCCTGTTAGTCGGACTAGCGAAGGTGGCAGTTTGGAAGAGCTTTCAAAGAAATACGGCTGTTACCAGCAAAGTATTGTGAGAGAAGCTGCGAGATTGTCTGATCGGCAATAGACTAACTTGATTTTGATCATTGTTTGAAATACTTCAAAAAAAATAAAGTTATAAATTTTGAACATCATATGAATCTTATGTTTGTGTCTCAAATGGAATGGAAACTGAGCTAAATGATGTCATTTTCAAAATAAATTTAAATCGGGAGAAATCCCATTTTTTGCTCATCCCGAATATTTTTTTAAAATACCGATTTACAAAAAAGATTCTTATCCCTAATATCCCAATCTTAATAAAATATCCTAATTTCTTCATAAAATATTCTGATTTCTTAATAAAATATCCTGATTTCGTATCCCAATTTGTTAACGAGACATCCTGATTTTTCAGTAAAAACTCCTGACTTTTTAATGATACCCTCCTAATTTTTGTTCAAAACTACAGATTTTTTATTGGAAGTATACATCAGGTTTTCTGATAAAATGTTCTGGGACTGACAAATTCTGAACAATGAAATGCATATAGAACACAATGCAATGAAAGTTGGAACGTGGTGAAAAAGATTTATGGAAAAGCATTTTTGTGATGAAACAGAATAGCTAACTGCACATTATGAAAGTAAATCAAACGTTGATGTATATATTTTGGCAGTGATGCCATATTAGCATTTATGAAAGTTGGCGGTCATAATTGCTCTATTAGAGATCATTAAATCTATCGTTCTAGTTATTATGACATCACATTTCATATTAGAACTGGTGATATTTTTCTAATAAATGCATGAATTTTTATTAAAAATAATGCATGGAGATGTGAGAATCTCTTTGCAATTGCAAACTAAATCTTTAATGATTCTGAATAAGAAAAGTTATCAAACACTTGGAGTTTAGCTGAAATATAAAGTTCTCGGGATAATATACAAAGCAAAATGAAAAAATCTAATTCAGCAACAAGTAAAAAGGTAATGAAGAAGATGAAAATCTGCCTGTACAGGGAATAAACTATTTTTGAGATCTTATTTGTGGTGCGGAAGATCTGTAAGATGCTAATTGATTGTTTAACGTGTCCATCAGGTTCCAATATATTGGGCATACATTAAATCATTGTAAAATCTTCAAAATACTGTTAGACAGTTGTCATTTTTGGGATCACTTGTATAATTGACAGGATTGATTGCTGCATTCTCTAAAAATATATCATTGGAATCCATGCATTAAAAAGTTCTTGCATATGAACATTTTTCTTGGCTGACCCTGTACATTATGTATTCAATCTGAATTTGAGAATTGGTACTTGATCTGCTCTCTGTTAGTATACATGGTATGAACACCACAAGTGAATACACTGACAATACAGTTATAGTGATTTATTTGTACACATTACAATTTTATGTAATACAGGAAGCATGTCCAGAAATACACTTTAATAACCAGTTTCAGTTTACAAGAATGTTAACTTTTCCATCCACTTCAGTGAAAATAATAATAAATAAATTATTTGTAAAATAAAATTATATACATTTGTACATGTAGGATACATTATCATCATGGATTGTTAGACCATCATTAGTCAGTGAACTCAGATACATTATTAAAATCTCAATTGTTTTTCACTATTTACAAGTCTGCTATTCGTTAATATGTTGATTTCAGATATATAAAGGCAGAATCAGATGTTCCCGTAATCTCATTCTTCCTTTGAAAAACTATGTTTTGGAGAGATTACGGGAACATCTGATTCTTCCTTTGAAAAACTATGTAGCTATTTGGCAGGTAAAGATTAAAAGGTGGATTGGATCAAGTGAATTGGATTCATGTAAAAGGTGGATTGGATTGGGATTCTTCAAAATATGGATTTTCCTTAAAAAATTATATTGATATCCCTTCAGAAGATTAATGCTCTCCTCACTTCCACAATGTCAAATAATGTTATATCATTTTGTTTGGGTGGGCTAGCAGGGTGACCTGATACATATCCTTATTCATTCCAAGTGTAATTTTAGACATTTCATAAATCACAAGGCAGACTTTTGAAGTCGAATATCCATATCACCTGTTTTCAATTCAAACATAAAATGGCAGAAATGTCTTCGGAACACCCATACATCAATTTGAATGACAGCTTATATCTACAAATCTATGTTTTTATTATGTCTTACAAATGTTGATTTACAAGGGAGAGCAGTTAAATACGTTAGAGTATCTATCAACTAATTAAAGTATGTATTTGTAATTGCTTTGTTGATTCCTTAAAGGGACCCAAGTAATCACAAAATACTATAGGCCAAAGGAAATTGTGTAGAGGGAGATCAACTGAAAAATCCACATTTAGAATATTCCTGATCCAATCCACCTTTTACATGAATCCAATCCACTCGATCCAATCCACCTTTTAATCTCTACCATTTGGCACTATAATAAACTCTCCATTGGAAATCAGAAATCTTTGACCACAACTGTTTCAAACTGATGCATATGGTGAATGATTCAGTCTATAGTAATAATAGTATATGTATGCATATTATTTCTTTTTACAAAATATAATATCATTTAATGTGACTGAGATGGTGGATTCTCTTTCTTACAAATACTTTGGGTTCAACTTCAGATTCTAATCAATCACACCAGCATTCTAAAATATAGCAATATGGCCTTACAAATTGTTATAAATTATGGTATCCTCAAAGTAAATAAAGACAAATTAACTGACCAACTTGGTCTAAAAGAGGGTTATCTTATGAACAAGAAATCATGTTTGTCTGGAGCATTGTACACAAGAATATTACATGTAAATTATAATTTTCTTACAAGAAACTAAAATTATAGGCATATATGAGTTTTGCTCATTAGTGACATGGCACAACTCTAATTTTAAAGAAATTGTATTTTTATTACCATTTTATTACCTTGCATATGTTAAGAATGCTTGATGATGTTTACGAAAACAGAGCAATATGATTTCTCATGCATGCCTATGATTTTTTATTGCATGTTCTGCGAAAATATTTCATTATTACTTCATCAATGATACTGTAGGTATTTTCAATAAAACGTGAAAAATGTTTGTGTGCTTAAAAGTTTAATCTGAATGTCATTGTAAATAGATGGCAGGCCAAGGTTGTTATAATCGTGTATCCAATACAGCCATGGATTGTGATATCATGTCATCCTGAAAACAATGTTTTGTTGCATTATTCATTTTACAGAAAGTAATCAAAATTACAAACACAATATCAAAATCAATCAAATTATAAATTATAATTCAATAAAATTTAAAGTCCCAATAGCTTAAATTATTATTCTAAATAATCCTAAAATATGTTTTACTCAAATTAATACATAACTTACACAATCAAAAGGAGTGGGCATAAACTGTTTTTCTGTAATTATTGGCCTTATGGAAAAACTTTATTTAAAAAGTATATAAATTGTCTTTCAAATTGAGGTTGCAATTAGTGTCCTCAACTTGGAACTCATCACACTACTTACAATGTACTAGGTGAAGTATTGTTATCAAGCTTTGATTTTATGTTCAAGTAATTTAATTGTGTAAGTTGGATATAATTATGAATTTAATTTTTTATTTTATTCAAGATGAGAATTGCAGCTACTGACCATTTAACAAAAAATAGACCATGAGATAAACAATTATAAAAAAATGAATTAATCCAAGTGCAATTGAGCATTGTCATAAAGAATATAATTTCAAATTATTATTACTCCCCATGACTACTATTTTGATGTCCAATTTGTCTTTGTACATTTCAACAACCTTAGCATAAAACAATGAAAAAGAATGTGCAAGACTGTATAAAAAACATATTTTTCTTTCCCAGAACATTGCTCTTATCATGTGTTGATTTTCAGAAGAACTAAAAAACCTGATATCATTAAGTGTGTAAAGGTTAAGTTAGTATGGCAACACTATAGTAATAATACACTTTGCTATGATAACATAGAAGTATAGATATATAAACCAGCCCAATAATTCAAAGCAGTTCATTGAACATGAGTTCAGCAGTCTGGACAATTGTGCTGGATCGATGGTCTGCCATATTTCAATTACATTTGTTCAGAATAATCTGGAGATATATTTTGTCTTTAATTGCTAAGAGTTCAGAATGTGATATTCAATTAAAACACCCCAAAACTATATTAAATGATCATCTTCCATATTTCTTTTATTTATGGACTATAATGTAGAACTTTGAGGATTAAGGGGAGTCATTATGTAATGAATCATATGCATAATACAGCATTGTTATTCACATAATTGCATTACTGAAGATTCTATGGGTGGTGAAAACTTTTGTATATACTGAGCATAAATAGCATTATAAAAAAGGTGTCATTCTTGCATACAATGATGTGATGCATATAATAATGCAAGCTTGGCATACAATGATGCAAGTTTAGGATATGGCGATGTGAGTTTGACATCACAGATAAATACTTAAAAACGAGGCAAATCCCATGGCTAGCAGAGAAAATGAATTTTTGATTAAATGCACATCTCAGCTCAATGAGTTAAAATGTCAACCATATATTTGTGAGTTAAGAGTGTAAAACAGTGGAAAACCATGGGCATCTTAAGGGCGGTGGGTTTGCTAAATGCCAACTTCTGCACTGCCGAGAAATTTTTTGATGAGACCAAAACTTCAAAAATGCTGTTTTTACATCAGAAAAGAATTATAGTCCTTAAAAATGCTCAGATTGCACCAAATAATGTCTTTGATGAAAAATTTCACCAGACCTCTAAAATGTGTGGCCTTTAATCAGCCACGCATTCACTTGCTGTGCCCGGACCACCTATATTTTCTAAAAATGCACCCTTTTACATATATGGTCTGACGCTCCTTAAAAATTGATATCATATCCCTATTTCCTATTATCATAGAAACCCCTGGTCCAATAAATATGTATGATCTCAGTTAGTTGGTTCAAGAATGATTTCAACTAATAGTATAGTTTCCATATAGCTTTTGAAATCTCACTAAATCTTGTTTTTCGTGAGATTTTAAGAGACTTGCATATTAGACCTCTAATGACTTACGTTACCTTCTTTTAAATGGCATATTTGAATTCAGTGAAATGTTTTCTCCTTTAATAGCTTTGATTTACACAGTTATGTAATTTGAATAATTTTCTATAACAATTTAAAAAAAACTTGGGCCAAATGTCCATAGATGCAATGCTAAAATTCTTAAAATCCGTGGATTATTTGTATGTCAATCAACATTTGCATGTTTAATCACATCGTGTGCTTAAACAGGGTCATCATGTGGTATATCATTCAAGTTTTATACAGATTCAACAAACACACTTTGATAAATCATGAAATTAAGCCACTTTTCCAAGATTTTAGCATGTAAATGAATGGAGCTCTAGCCCAAGTTAAAAGCTGAATAAAAGATGGCAGCACGAGATTTCATTGATTTTTCTGCTATTTAGAAACTATCCTATTGACCAAATAACATTCTTGCCAAATTCATGTTCATATAACTTGGAACCCTGTATTGTATATTGATAAATCAATTAATCGCTGCTCCCTTCCTTCATTTACTGGTAAAATTCAAAATAACTCAGATTTGATTACAAATTTAAGGCACTGAATATTGAAATGAAACCTCTTAAGTCCTTGATTTATATTTTGGTCCATGTATAGGAATTTTAGCTGTTAGTCCAAAAAATGTATTCCAATACAAATTTACTAAATTACTAGATACTTAAAGATAAAAATCTCAAATGGCAAATATATATACATGTACCAAATGATTTTTCAAAGTTATATAAAATAATAAAAATGCCTGCTAGAAGGGAGCAGTGTATTAGTATATAAAATGGGTTCAACTTAGACTACCTTGGTTTGACATTCTCAATACATGCATAAAAGTAGAAAGGTTGCCCTATGTCCCATGGTTGGTTGTGTCACTGCAAGTGTAGGAGTCAGAACAAATATATGTGTCCAGGACCATTAATGACTCTGCCAGACTGCGTTCCTGAAACATGCATGGTAGTGACACACAAAATCATATGGAATGTGGCATTAAGGTGTTAGAACAAGGTCATCATAATTATTGCAATATCTCAGGGGTCTCTGTCAACATAATACTGTACCTAGACTACATGTTTGGTAATGCAAATCAATACATGTAATATAAGTTCAAAAATTGAAATGTTGGGGGATTATAGTGATTGGAGATCACTAAGATTTTGCAATTTTACTGCATGCTTTCCTTGTAAATTCATACACTCAATGAACATAAATAACACTGCTATAGTGAAGCTGTGGGTAGTTAACTCTTTTGACTGGGAAGTCGACTAATTCATCCTATCTGCGGGTAACTGCGGGAAGTCGACTATAGTTGACTTTTATACACGTACTATGCTGATAAGTTTTCTGTTGTATTTATAGATGTCAGGCTATGTCTAACCTTGTGGATTATGTTTGTACAGGACAAAAAACATAAACGTAACAGAAAGTTAATGATATTTCGTGACTTTTTCATAAAATAAACCGATAGAAAAGGTGATTTAAAATGGCTGCTGCTAGAGCTAGAACTCTCATATGTATTAGGGCTACTGAGGACAATTTTGATCAAATATTCAATGATTTGGACAGTGAAAACGATACTTGAAAAAATGAGGTGAAAATGATGATTTAATTGAGATTTTTGGATGGTATTATTTTATTTTTATTATTACATAAAATATTATTTAACTTTATTCTATTTTTCTCATTGATATCATGAATGATGTAATTGCTAGTCTATAGTCAAGACATTGTATGTTTTGATGGTTTGAAATGGTAGAACAATATATTGACAGCATGTACTAAAGATTTCATCAACATCTGATTGCTAGTTAAAAAGTTACACTGTATGTACAGAGATCGCCTAATATTAAAAGTGGGTGATCAAAGACTCGACAAGATGCGCAAAATCCAAAATGTCGGAGGAAAGGTATGTTTGTTTGTCTTCTCTTTACCAGTTTTAAGTCATTTTACCTACAGATGGTATTCCATATGCTGTATAAGAGACTCAAGATTCATTTGGTAACAGGATTCGGTGATTAAATCAACCGAAATACCTGAACTGAGTTGATAAAAGAAGCAAAATCAAAAACCCGTCGAACGAAAATGTATTTTTCACAAAATTTTCTGTTTTTAGATTGCCAAAACCACAAAACCAATATCATCTATGGTTAATATACATAAAACTTAACATTACATGCATATCAGACGTTCCAACTCCCCTTCAGTATCGAGTAAGGAGGATGTTATGAAAAAAATTATGATCAGCCAAGTGAGTGATTTTACCATTGTGGATTCTAATGATATGTTCTTTGCATTTCAGAGTGGTTGGATTTACATATTTCTATTGTCCTTCACTACGAACTGTTAAATTTCAAAACATTATAAATCACCTTATAGAACACCATGAAGATGAAGAGATGAAGATAAGAAAGATTATTGAAAATAGAGGCAAATTTAGAATGATTACAAGAACTATGAGCTTGACAAGTAAAGATTTGGTTTTAATTATAAATCAAACAAATCTTTAATGTACATATGACCAAAGCCTAAACTGGAACTTTTCCCCAGTCCCATCCACATTACGCTGTCTAGAATAGCAAAGTATTTATTTCACTTTGTTTCTCTAAAAACGCCCACTGGGCGTTTATTTTGCATTCGATTACATACAATTCTAACATTTTCAAGCTAATCACCTATACACCTTAGTTGAAAATTGATCAATAAATCTTCTGAATATTGAACTATAGAGCAGCTTTCCCCTATACCTATCATTTACATATGATCCAAGTTAGCCACCTCGTGGTGAAACTGGGAACTGACTACTGGCATCTACTGAAGGTCATTACATTTTTATATAACTTATTAATACCTTGCTGCAAAAGAATGATTTAACTCCCCAATGAAATAGATAGTGTACAATTCAGATTTAATAAGTTTATTATGAGACCCCATGTTCATAACAACCACAATCATGAAAATGGGTGATGCATTGACATACATTTTCATTTATGATTTATTCAATTCTTGCATTACAATTCGACAATCATCTTGGATGCCAAGGTGTAAAGTTTTCATACCTTGGAATCAAAGGGTAAAATAAATGGACTGAAATGTGACTTTAAAAACTGTTCCATTTATAAGGTGTTATGCTTCAAGAGGTTTTTCTCTTAGCAGTGTACATATCGTATTGTATTCAAACAAAGACAGAATAACAAAATATACGCATATAGTGACCATTTAATCGAATGAATTAATGAACGGTGATGTACATGTTTATTTTAATTTGGACATACATTTTGCATGAAACCCCATTTTTCTTCTCTTTAAAGCATATAGTTGTGGGTGTATGAAATGCTGAAACTCACGCTATTGGCTGATCCATTCATTTCTGTGTTAAAATATTTATTCCATGTTATTTAAGAGGAAACGTGAACTTTATCATGGTCAAATGGAAGCCCAAATCCCTACCTAAGTATAAAAAATTAAAGTGAGTAAAAATCTTCTCTTGTTTTTGATATTTTAAAGCTTTTTAAATAAAACAGCACATATTATATCGCATTTATATCTTTACATCGTAAAATCGATCACATATACGAAAAATGGTCAAAGTAATATATATTTTTCAAAGCATATGGGTGTTCTTGTGCCTACAAAACCTTATTGAATCACCAGTAGCGTGTAATATGAACACAAATAAATCTTTTAAAAATAACCGTTACACGATATTTGAATTTTGCGCATCTTGTCGAGTCTTTGATCACCCACTTTTAATACTAGGCGATCTCTGTACATACAGTGAAGTTATGACTGTTTGAATATAATCGGTCAAAAGTAGACAATTTTCAGGAAATTAATTACCGATCTTAGCAATGTAGCAAATTTGCTAATTACCAGTCAAAATAGTTAAACACTACAATAACAATGTTAATATGGATAGATTAAAAACTGCAAAATAGTTCAAATCACCAATTCAATCTTATAAAGGACCAGGTATAGTATAGCAAGTGATTTAAGACAGTCATATCTTTCACCACTAGTACTTCCTGGCCTTAAACCTGCACATCGCTCCAAAACGCAATCTTGGGTTGTTTCAGGGGTGAATTTTATCATTTTGAGCTTAATGAAAGATTATAGAATGATGAACAAATGGGGCAAATCTTGTGTATAAATACTTTCGATAAATGTGTCATTTCAAACATTGTTCATTGAATTTGCTTTGATTGGTGATGACGATATGATTTTGGAAAGGTTTGTAAATTGAGAACGTGACGTCACTTCCGAATTATAGCATTCAACGTGAGTAGCGTTTAATTACTCCAATCATTCATAATAACTTGGTGGCCTTGCGGTAGAATGCTCGCTCAGCACGCAGGAGGCCCGGGCTCGAATCCCGCACTAACTTTTTTAACTAAATGATTGTTCTTTGATACGCAGAAAAAACAATTTTTATTTATAAAGAGCTTGAAAATGTATAAACAATATATGTCAACATATTGCGTTTTGGAGCGATGTGCAGGTTTAAAACCACATATCCCATGTTATTTTCCAAAAGGGAAAACATATGCTATGCATTGTTTCCAGCATAATTTTGGTCATCCAAAACTGATATGTTCAAAACCAGACTTCCATCCAATATCATTCTACTTTTGAAGACATTTTAGTCCCCTTGTTGAATAATCTTTTCATTAAATAAAAATCAGAAAAAGAAGATCCTCTTTTGAGTATATAGATTCAACATTTTGAAAGAAATGTTGACATTTTATAATTTTTCAAATTGCTTGATTGATATTTTTACTATCCTTGAGCATTTACTTGAAAGATAACATATTGTGTTAATAGCAAATGTAATATTTAGGCCTAAACTGAGAAAGTACTCATGAAAAAGATAATACTGTCTAAAATCACTTGCTATACTTTTTCTGGTCCTTTGAAAATTTAAATAAATATGATCTATTTGCCTGTTGAAACATAGATGATAGATAAATTAATTGAGGTTTCAAGGCTCTCATACTTTATTTATTAAGTTCTGTATAAATGTATAAAACATTGAACATAATATGTCACCCCTTCATCTGAAATCTTGTCCACTGGGTTCTCAACATTATATATAGGTTATTATAAAATACAAGTTTTGCTAATTTGTAACATGAATAACAATTTTAATCAGTGATAGAAATATTTGAACAGTATCATCTGGATTATATTACCAAACATTACTTGTACTGAATTGCCTAGTTAAGTATAGACTAGAACTTCTAGACTCAATTATTTGTTACAATGGTCTTTAATTACAAAATATTTGTAAATTATTCATCCCTATACATGGTCTTGATAACAGATGTAAACATAACTATATTATTTATCAAGACAGTGAACTGGAAATAATTTTTTAAATGTGGTTAAGATTCTTCATGCAAAAATTAAAATAACAATGTAAAATAGCATGCATAAATGTTATGTATGTTAAAACATGTGAAAATATAGTTATGAATGTGATGTACTTTGTGACCATAATAATTCTAATGCATATATACTGGAAAAGTGCATGTATCCAATTTACCTTTCCGCAAGTTTGCATAAATTCGTCCATAGTAATAAGTCCATCCCTGTTTAAATCCATTTTCTGAAACAAAAATGATAAACAGATAAGACAATCGGTATCAGTAAACTGTATATATTTCACACAAAATATATATTTAAGAGTATTTCAGTGGTATTTTAGTTTCCCATTTTAAAAAGCAATAGTTACTTCAAACACTGTTTCCACATGATCTCTGGGAGTAGTTTCATCAATAACTGGCTCTGCATATTTTCCCATTAAGTCGTAAATTGCAGAAACAATATCTGTCATCTCATCTTTAGTAATCATGCCATCTCCATTGATATCATAAAGTCGAAATGCCCATTCTAGTTTTTCACGCAAGCTCCCTCGAGAAATCACAGAGAGACCAATGACAAATTCCTATAAAGAAATAAAAATGAAATTATTAATAAAGGCTGTGCCTTAGCCTTGATAAAACTTGATAATAGGGGATATTGACAAAATCATTTTTGAAGTCATTTTAATGAGTATTCGTTCAATCAAATTTGAGATATTACAGAATTACTAATATTAAAAAAATATTCACCTTTCTACATTTCAAGGAGATGGTTTGAATTACCAATCTAGAATGTTATCGATATTGACTACGAAATTTGCCCTTTGATGTATAGTAATATAGTATTTCTTTGGTTAAACATGAATAAACGTTTTCATTTCTTGATTGATTAATTGTACCTTATCAACATTACTAATCATTCATCTCAGCTATATAATTGATATCAATTATGTAATGTTGTTTAACTCTGGTGATATACATGTACCTTTACATTTAACTTCATGGCCAATGTGAATTTAAGCAAACTTTGATTGTAATTTGAAGCATTGAGGTAGAGTGAGATTTCAATATGATTTGTGAATAACACTACAAACTAATCAAGCATAAAGAATGGCTCGTGAATCAATGCTTTTCACTAGATAGTTGGTACTGAATGAAATCAATATACCAATTTCATCAAGTACGATTCAACTCAAGTAAAACTATTCAGCTTCACACAATTGCATTCTGTTATCCTCTAAGAGCTGATAAGGCATGATTGGATTCCTCTAACATCATTTATTACATTAAAGGTGCACTTAAAATACCCCCTGAAGGAATTTACACCACATTTAGTGATGTTTTCTTTCAAGGTCACTTAGGTATGTTACTACTCAGTTTTAATTCTTTATGGTTACAATACACATCCTTACCTCAAAAGTGATTGTTCCACTGTGATCCACGTCAAATGTATTGAATACATAGTGGGCGTATGCACTTGAATCTACAAAATATATGTCATTTTATAGGATTCATTTTATCTTGGCTCACCAGATTTGTTTGCCTGACTATTGATGGCCTCTGGGACCTTAGCTTGACATACTCATTAGGCGTTGAAATCTTATTCTAATAATATTGGAAAGTGGAACATAATCTAAAATTACTACTTTGATCATCAACCTGACCATACATCTTACACAAACACATAATGCTCCATATTGTTGTTTTAGAACTGGTTTATATGTTCAGTGTGGTCCAAAAAAAGTGAACCCTTGCAACAAGCTATATCATATCTCAATTATTACTTGCATTAATGGGCTGATATTTTCACATAGAGGGAGGTCTAAAATTTTTGTTGGTACCATTAAGGTCACTCAGTCTTTAGTCTTGCAGAAGTTACATGGCATCTACGGACATGCCTGATAAATGGGTGATGTGCTTAATCCATGCTCCATGGTTATGGATAACTGCTGTAATGCGAATGTTGAAGTTGTTTACTGCTTAAAAAAAACATTAGATACACAGCCAATCCACATCCACATGGAACCTATGCCACAATGATCCATTATGAATCCTCATGAAACCCACGATGAATTCCATGTGAAATCTGCACGGATTTTAGGCTCATTGATCCATGTGGAATTGGGAAAGTTTTTCCATGTTTATTCACGCGGAATATTTGCAAAATATCCATGCTGAAATGTGTGACAATAATTTAGATCAAATTCATGTGGAAATAGTGTGAATTCCATGTGGAATCTACGTTGATTGCACCACATATCCAAGTGGATTCAATGTTGATCATATTGGGGGTATGCAACAACTTTTTACTTTAAAATAAAAAAAACTGCTTTAAATTTACAAAATACCTCTAGATATGCTGAAACGAGCAGTGAACAACTTCAACATTCACATTGCAGCAGTTATCCAGAAGCATAGTGAGCTTGGTGTAGGAAGCCAGTTAAAGAAAATGAGAGAAAGTGTACTAGCAGAATTCAATGCCCCGTATGGGAATCAAACCTAGTACCCTTGGATCCAAATATTGATACAGCTGGGCAGTAGTAGCAACTTGCTATCAAAGGTCGTTACACTATCTCCCATTGAAAGGATCTCACCCTCATCGTCAGCCTTGCTTTCCTTAGCAGTGACTTATACACATACGAGCGCAAAGGATACAACAAATGTTTTTGATCCCACATCCAACACCAATATTATTACCCGAGGGCACATCAGGGGAATGACTAACAAATAAGCATAGTGTAACTACAGTTGGGCCATAGTAGCAACTTGCTATCAAGGGTCATTACAATAGTATGAACAGAGACTGTGGTAATTTAACCTTTCACATGTTTGGGACGCTGTTCTGTCATCAACATCACAATGGTAATAAACATTGTTGCCAATGTCACAAGAAGGTCTCAAGCAAGTTATTCTGAAGGAGCATGATGTGATTTGAGACATCAATATCAAATAGGTACTAAGGTTGCACCAAAAAATAATAATTGTAGATGTATATATTACCAACCTGAAGAAACATATTCAGATTTATATTTAGAGTAGTTGTATTAAACCATTTAAACATTTTAATTGATATTTAATAATCAAGTGATGTGAATGTTTAAATGAATGAAATAAAAATGTCTTAATGAAAACTATTTTTAAAGAGAAGCATGTTTAACATTTGTATACCTACCTCCCTGGGGGAAAAATTGAGCATAAATTTCTCTGAAGGTATCTTCATTCACAATCCCAGTGGGACACTCCTAAAACATGCAGTTAGTTGAATGTTAAAAGCAAATTAAATGCATGGTTAAGGAACATACATACTAAACATATATGGTTATATCTGACATTGAACTCTAGTTTTAATAACTGATATGCTCATCTCCCATTTCTTGATATTCATTCACCTGTTAAGTCCCAATTTAAATCAGAAGTCCTGATTCTTTGGTGCTTACTCAGCTTTTTTTGCCAAAACCCTGATTTTATAAAATCCCAATTTTTTATATTATCCCTCCAATACTGTTTTAGAATCTTAGATTTTCTCCCAATTTTTTCTAGAAATCCAGATTTATTCTGAATTTTCAGTTAATGATTTTTTCCAAACAACTCGATTTTAAAAAAGAAGTCCTGAATGTTTTTTCTTTTTATTCAAATAAAGTTTATTCCAATTTAGGTTTTTACGATACAGAAATACAATAGTACAATTAATTACAATAATGTATAATGAGTTATTGTTTTAATCATTTTCCATTTGTTTTTAAAAAATACAATTTTACGAGTACAGATACGAGTACAAAATTTAAAAATTTAAAATGAAGTCCTCAATGTTGATTTGGTTTTTGTAACTAGATTTTTCTCTGGTTCTTTTTTTTCTAGAAATCCAGATTTTCTACAGATTTATCTGAGTAAACAACCCCCATTTCAACATGATATCCTTCGAAATTCCCATTTTTAGAAAAATATATTAGTATCTATTAGAACCAAGCTTAATTTGTAGTTTAAATGCTTCAAAGTGAATCATTTATATACAGAAAAAATATACTATATACTATTAATTGACAAATCTAGTAAGGTTTCTTTATTTCCTATGTAATAAATTCTTACAATAGGAAACTAGTGTTATTTAATTGAGCACTATATTGCATATGCAAAACTTGATATAATTCAACATTGTGCTGCACTCAAACAAATGTTATTCAATCTATCAAATAAAAATATGCAAGAACTGTTATTTTTTCCACATTTTGCTACATATTATGCTAGAAGCATTCACATGTAAATTGTATCCAAACATTTTTCATATTGATTGTTCCACATAACATGACAGTATTACATTATAACTTTGCTTTCACATCATCTAATAAAAAGCAAGTCAACATATTTCAAAACTAATCAAAAGTTTTATGTCTAATTGAAGTGCCAAATGTTTGTCATGCATTGTGCATTCACACATGTACCTCCATATGGAAATATTACAGTGAATATTTCTTTGAAAGTGACTTCGTCAATATCACCCTTAGGACACTCCTGCATGAAAGAAATCATCACAGTGTCACTATCGTTGTGATTTATTTATCATAAGAGACGCCTTAAACTTTTTCCATATAATTAGTAGTAATATCTCAATGACGTATTTCCAGCATCGTTATCGTTAAATTGCTCCATAGGAGATAATCATAAAAGTGAGCATGAATAAGTAATAAGGATGTTTGAAAGATAAAGTTCACTTTCTTATTATTACCAAGAGTGGTCTTCTTATTCAGTGTAATGAAGCCAATAATATGGGTTGCTGACTTAATGGTTGTATTGATTACACATACTACTTGTGAGAATCACCAAATGTCTGATTCTATTGCAAAATATTTTATGCAAGACAGATCAGCCAAATTCAGTTTGAATAAATGGTGTGAAGAAATAGTTTTTGTCATGACATACTGCAATTATTATAACAATTTTGAGGGTGGGAATTCTGGAAATCATCTAAAGCCTTCAGGTAAATTGACAAGCAGCAATGTGCAGAATTGGAGAGAATGTTGAGAGTACAAATAAGATACAAAATATGACGTGTAAGAAGTTATATCACAATGACTTTCCATTCAAGGATGGTGGAAAAAGTCTAAAGATCACCCAAGTGATTATAATAAAGAAAGCCCATGTTGAAAGATCATGGTATAACAGACTATCTGTATTTTCATGTATAATTAGGAATTACTATGAAAAATGAATTTCTTACATGCCCATATTTTAATTCATATTGCACAATATGAGCTATTTTGACAACCCAGGGTAAAAGCATTTGAACAAATGGAATAACTTGAAACTAAAAATAGTAAAGACAGTTCAAAATACACTTTACAAATAATGGTAAAGATGCCAGGGATTTGATTAACAAGATTTAAATGTGTGAAAGCAGGATTTGCCTACCTCCAAAGCAAAATATATTGCTGAATACATGAGCAAATTTTTCTTCATCAATACAGCCCTGAGGACACTCCTAAAGTAAAGCCTGATAGTAACTGGTTTGACTACTGAAATCTATTGCACTCAGTACAGGAAAAATTATTGTATATTGTACAAGTATTGTATAAGTGTTTAGACAACAATTTTAAATAACATTCTTTTCATACTCTGTATAGCTTTTCTTCATATAGACAGATATGTAAAACAAAAGAATTGTACAAGAAATAAGCAATAAATACCTGCTTGAAACCTCTGTACATGATTTGGAGTTCTTTTCTGGAGAATTTAGTGTTTTTAACAAGTGTGTCAAGACCCTCTGGTCTGTAACGTGTGACAACCAGCTCAAAGTCATCAATATCATTATCTAAAAATAGAAAGACACAAGGTGTTATCAAAACTACAAAACAGCAACTCCCCAGAGTAGCAAATCCCATAACATTTGGAACAAATATGATAATCAGTAATTGTGTTATTCATGTTTCTGCTGAAAATGGCAGAAACTTGAATTCAGCTGCCATCTTGAAAATTTATCCTCTCGTGTGTTTAACACCTGTTTCCTCTACTCTACTAGGTCTTGAGTTTGAAACGTGTGAGCTCCTTTCTTGAGCTCAAAACAGTTTATATTTAGGATCCTATGTCCAAAAGGCACTACCATATATGATTTGAACCAAGTCTATCATCTTTTATTCAAGTTGTCTAACATTTGTAATGTAACATTTGTTACAAAAATAATGACAATTTTTCATTCAGTTACCACATCTGATATTCAAACAAAATTTTATGTATTTTGTTATTGAGACAGTGTTATCTGCAAATCACTTTAGACTTCTAAGTTTCCAAATCAAGTTTAAACACACAATTTTAAACCAAATTATAATCCCAACCTTGTATATATTTACTTATTCCATATATTTGAAATGTATGAAGTATCCAATCAAAGCAAAAAGCAATACTAACCATTTGATACATTTATATTTCCCATGATCAGCGTCAAAAGACATTCACTTATCTCCTGATCTTAAATATGGTGTCTTCATTATGTTTGCATGATCAAAAATATATTTGATTGAGGGAACATAGGGACAACATCTATGCACTAGTGACCACTCCATTCACTTAAGATGAGTACACAAAAATTTATGAACCTTTTTTAACCAATCCTAAGGGACATGCATTTGAAATTGTTGTTCTAAATTGTTAAAGCAAATGAATCCCATACGTATGAAAGGTATGTTGTTAAGACTAATCTAACTAATGAAATTAACATTTGCATGATTTCTTCATTGCACGCAACTTTCTTGCGTGTCTTTTTGAGATTGAATTTACTCTTGTTTATTAGTTTAATGAAAATTAAAAATTCATCCTATTTGGAATAAGAATAAAAGACTAATAGGATGATGTTTGTATTCATTTTATTCATTTATATCAAGGCTTTTGTGATGTAGAAATCTCATCAGAGAGAATGTCTTTAGCTATAACATGAATTAATGAAGACAGTTTGAACTATTCTGCTTCAACATGAATTCTACAGAGAAGTACTGGATAGCATCATAAATGCTATAAAATATAATTCATAATACTTTTATAGGTCCCTTAATATTTGAGGGCATCATTAATGAACTCCCAGCAATGCCAAACACTAAATATTATACTAAATATACCATCTTTCAACTTCAGAATTCTCACTTGACTCTTCACAAAATCAACAACAGAATTCATAACATTGAATATACACCAGATTTTCTCTTTAAAAGCCTCTTGGATATTGAATGAAAGTTATGCATTATTTTGTAAGTTTTCCCTGGTGTGCTAACTAAGGCTCACTGAGAATATTTTATAATTTCCTTGATTCCACTAAGATATGATAACGCAAGTGTCAAAATAAATGATGAGCCTAACATTTGTTAAAAGGAACACTTAGATCCAATAGTCATGAGGAAACATACCCGCCTTACCATTCGCCAGGTGAAATCAAATAATGTTAGATGTCATTCATTTTATTTCAGTGTAAATTGTTTAGCCTTTCAAAGCTGGTGACCTTAATTTTTTGTACCTGTAAAATAAGAAGTAGAATGTTGATGGTACATAGGATTTGTTCGACTTCATATTATTTATTTCTCTACACTGTCTGTTTACTAATGTTGAGTGAAAATAAAATTTGAAAAATCTCTCAAAATTGAGCCATATGATTAAGAAGATTTTTTGAAAACCTGGTCAAAAGTTTGGTAACATCATTACAACATTGTAATAGAGTTGATTTGTCAAATGTGAGACTCCCACTACCAATGTGTGTGTAGGTATATACAAATGTACAGAGAAGCCAATCTGTTGTCTGTCTGCACCATAAATGTTTATTTTTACAAAAAGTTAAGTGTACTATAAAACCTGTCTAAGTGCAACACCTTTGTTACCTCAAGAAAGTGTTCCACTTCTAGAGGTTTCACTGTATATTCATAGTAGAAACTTCGAAAATATCCAGCATAATGAAACTTCTGCTCTCCCTCATGTTTCTAAACAAGATTAAATCGTAGTATATATAATAACAATCACTAGCGCTGCACAATAGTATACAGTTGCACAGTCAATTTATTTGTTCCATACAAAATTCCATCAGAAATTTAAAACCACATTTTAACCCAGATGTTTTGGAACACCCTTTTTTAGAACCAATAATAAGTCAATAGTAAACCATCAATGATGCCAATCAAAACTGTACTTAGAAATTTGATACAATACCCTATTAAATGGTAATACTAATAATAACTTTTGCCAATACATTTCAGTCAATGGAATGCACTACAAGGGCTCTAAAAATAGATCAATAGTTTCTGACATGTACAACATTATACGACTTAAAACAAAACATTCAGTTTCATTTTTTTTAATATTGGCATCATGTGCGTAATTTTTACTATTTTTAGATTAAGGTCTCGGGGTAGTTATCAAAAATTTACACCAAACAGAAAATGAAAAAAACATGTGGATTTTTGAACTTTTTGAAGTAAGATAACAGAGTTCTGCTTTGATCTTCAATCAGTTTTACTTCTCCCATATATAATTTACATACAAGGATCACAATAGTCATGGTCAAAATGACCCTTACCATGCTGAAATAGCTTTTCAGTCCTCTGAAATTGTGATTGAAAAAAGTCAGCATTTCCAAAAGATCACTGAACAGAATAGTTTGAACTTTTCAGAAAATGTGCAAAATATATTGCTTAAAAATAATAGGAGCTTTGAAAATAAGAAAAATTGTCTGAAACAAAAATTGTGGTCATAAAAAGGAAAGCTTTTCAAATCAGTTTTTTTCTTTCCGAAATGTTAACTTTTATATTTTTTCAGTCACATTTTCAGAGGGCTGAAAAAGCTATTTCAGCGTGATAATGGTCATTCTGACCATGACCATTGTGATCCTGGTTATGTAAATGATATATGGGAGTAATACATCTGACTGAAGATCAAAGCAGAACTCTTATCCAACTTCAAAAAATTCTAAAATCCACATGTGTTTTTCATTTCCTGTTTGGTGTAAATTTACTACCACAAGACCTTAATGAACTTTGTAATCTCTTTAGGAGTTGCTGAAGAGCATTATAATGAAGTACTGTGGCATTCAAAGAATATTATGCCAGAGTAGAAGCAATATTTTTGTAATATTAGTATTTTTGCAAATCTGAAAACAGATTTGTGGTACTTGTCTCAAAATGAGGCTGACAATTATAATTGCTGATAATTTAAATGGATATTGATACCTGCACTCTCTGGTTTTACGAAAAAGACTGACCCCACCGACCGGTCAGTGTTCTCCACTGGTAGCCTCAATACAGGGTTTGAAAAAAATGTGTAAAAGACCGACCATATCATGTAAAAGACCGAACATATTTGTAGCCTTAAAATATTAATAATTTGATTTTGAATGTCAATCGTTGGACTAGGCAACGTTTTACCGATTTTGTACCTTGCAACAAATGGCAAGCAAACAAATTGGGCATGACCGTCTCCTCTCGATTAATTGTCCTGCCTTAGGTCCTAACCTATCATTAACCAACCTATCGTTTCTTTTTAATGAAATTTAACAATTTCGAAACAAAAATGATTTGTTATCGTCATAGCCTACTGAATACTGAACACGATATAATGTTACATGCATCCTCTTATCGGGATTAAAAGTGACTTACCATTTCAGTACACCATTAGAAAGCTTTTTTTGTCATATCAAATGTAGTTTTTACCAGTTGACGTTTAACAACTGAAAAATCAAACATAACGTTACGACGTCAACATCGACGATGATTGTGTGACATGTCGCAAAAAGGTGGCGCATTTGTTTTTTAAGGGTATCGCATGAATGTAACTTTGATTCCCCGGATTATAAGATAATATTCTAATTAAAGTTATATATCATTTTAAAGCAGTTTCGATGAAGTTTTTAGATCAACCACACTCCGTTCACAATTCTTGCGCGTTCTTTTTTATAAAAGAGTTTTTTACCAAAACACCTAGCAAATATCCCCTGTTAACACGTTACATTTTGAATTATTTTTCGTCTTTAACCAACCTATCGTTTCTTTTTAATGATTCATTTAACAATTTCGAAACAAAAATGATTTGTTATCGTCATAGCCTACTGAATACTGAACACGATATAATGTTACATGCATCCTCTTATCGGGATTAAAAGTGACTTACCATTTCAGTACACCATTAGAAAGCTTTTTTTGTCATATCAAATGTAGTTTTTACCAGTTGACGTTTAACAACTGAAAAATCAAACATAACGTTACGACGTCAACATCGACGATGATTGTGTGACGTGTCGCAAAAAGGTGGCGCATTTGTTTTTTAAGGGTATCGCATGAATGTAACTTTGATTCCCCGGATTATAAGATAATATTCTAATTAAAGTTATATATCATTTTAAAGCAGTTTCGATGAAGTTTTTAGATCAACCACACTCCGTTCACAATTCTTGCGCGTTCTTTTTTATAAAAGAGTTTTTTACCAAAACACCTAGCAAATATCCCCTGTTAACACGTTACATTTTGAATTATTTTTCGTCTTTAACCAACCTATCGTTTCTTTTTAATGATTCATTTAACAATTTCGAAACAAAAATGATTTGTTATCGTCATAGCCTACTGAATACTGAACACGATATAATGTTACATGCATCCTCTTATCGGGATTAAAAGTGACTTACCATTTCAGTACACCATTAGAAAGCTTTTTTTGTCATATCAAATGTAGTTTTTACCAGTTGACGTTTAACAACTGAAAAATCAAACATAACGTTACGACGTCAACATCGACGATGATTGTGTGACGTGTCGCAAAAAGGTGGCGCATTTGTTTTTTAAGGGTATCGCATGAATGTAACTTTGATTCCCCGGATTATAAGATAATATTCTAATTAAAGTTATATATCATTTTAAAGCAGTTTCGATGAAGTTTTTAGATCAACCACACTCCGTTCACAATTCTTGCGCGTTCTTTTTTATAAAAGAGTTTTTTACCAAAACACCTAGCAAATATCCCCTGTTAACACGTTACATTTTGAATTATTTTTCGTCTTTAAACGCTCATAACTCAAAGAATATATGACTATTATACTTATTTTTCGTCTTGATAAAGGTAGATGGAAGTTTTATTTCAAAGGATGAATTTTAGTAAGCGTCCCATATTGTGACGTCATAGAGTTTGAAAAATAGAATCTGTTGACAGCGACCTTTTTTGCTCATTTTTTGTTACCTTCGACTTTTCAGGTGTACATTAAACAAAAAATACGAGATCAATTTTTACTCTTAAACTCTAGTTTATTAATAATAGTTGATTTTGTTCGCAAAAGTATGTGTTTTCTGTTGTATGTGGAAAAGTGGAGGACGAAAGGTTTTCAAAATTCATTAAAATAGGGCTAATTAACGCCATTCGCCTATTTTCAAGCACAGCAACACATATAATTATTTCACCTAAAATTCAATTGATTCGTTTTTAATGATGCTCTAACCCATTGTTAATACATATACGATATCAGAATAATTCGCCTTGAATATTTTGAGATACAGAGGTAAATGTGGAGGACGAAAGGATTTCCATATGTGTACATTTTTCTCAAAAAACGTCACATTCTGTGGTGTTAAAAAGCGAAAAAGTGTAACAATACGTGCGCGAACTTTTTGCGTCTGTGTATTTGTTATTGCGTTTCATATGAATGAACTTAATGCAATTCATTAAAATAGGGCTAATTAACGCCATTCGCCTATTTTCAAGCACAGCAACACATATAATTATTTCACCTAAAATTCAATTGATTCGTTTTTAATGATGCTCCTAACCCATTGTTAATACATATACGATATCAGAATAATTCGCCTTGAATATTTTGAGATACAGAGGTAAATGTGGAGGACGCAAGGATTTCCATATGTGTACATTTTTCTCAAAAAACGTCACATTCTGTGGTGTTAAAAAGCGAAAAAGTGTAACAATACGTGCGCGAACTTTTTGCGTCTGTGTATTTGTTATTGCGTTTCATATGAATGAACTTAACACTTAATGCAATGTTACGTGCGTTTTTTTCCAAAGTGACTTACCAGGATGAAATTGGTCTTCTAACAACTGAAACATCACTTAAAAATATGACATTACACACCACGACGATGTAACGTTTTCATCGTGATTTGAAATGATTAATTATACGTTTTTAAATCACGACCTAGTAAAGGTACTATAGTCATTGGATTCCCAGTTTTAGTTTTACTTCTAATTTTGCATTTTTTCATCTTTATGTAAAAGACCGTCAGCCGACCACCAAAGCTCCAATATTAATATCCCATTTGCAGGTTTTACAGTAAACAACAACAAAGACAAATTGATCTACCCATTTTATCTAAGGCTAACTTAATATCTAGTAACACTGGTTATTGATAGTTTGCATGTTTGATTCAGGACCAATGTGGTTTTGGCATTTGGTTAAACTACAGTGATTGGTATCAGTTCTATAGTATTGTTTTCTTGCAATGTTGCTTTCCTTTTTAATTTCTTAATGTTTATTTTTCTCTTCTAAATGTAACATTTTTAATGTTTTAAAGTATTTTTACACCCCATGCAGATAGATCGCCTAAAATTACATTTGTATGATGTGAGACCAGGAAAGTAGAAACATTTTGTCATCTATGATGCAAATTAATTTTTTACAGTTTAATAGATGAATGGCAGTCATATTAAGTCAGCCGACCACCAAAGCTCCAATATTAATATCCCATTTGCAGGTTTTACAGTAAACAACAACAAAGACAAATTGATCTACCCGTTTTATCTAAGGCTAACTTAATATCTAGTAACAATGGTTATTGATAGTTTGCATGTTTGATTCAGGACCAATGTGGTTTTGGCATTTGGTTAAACTGCAGTGATGGGTATCAGTTCTATAGTATTGTTTTCTTGCAATGTTGCTTTCCTTTTTAATTTCTTAATGTTTATTTTTCTCTTCTAAATGTAACATTTTTACACCCCATGCAGACAGATCGGCTTAAATTACATTTGTATGATGTGAGACCAGAAAAGTAGAAACATTTTGTCATCTATGATGCAAATTAATTTTTTACAGTTTAATAGATGAATGGCAGTCATATTAAGTTCTATACCATGTCGTCTTGACATTTCAAGGTAACACGTTTGAAAAATGATGACGGTGATTGAAATGGCGATGTAAAGATAAAACCGCAACAAATAATTTGTAGATTTCTTTGAAAAACTAAGAAATATACGAGGGTATATCATAAAGTTCTCATAATATCTCTCTAATTTTTTTATTTTTCAATATATTCTGATGAATTTTTCACAGAATGTGTAGTATATAATGCTGCATTAACCTTTAGCGTGCTGCGTCCGCAGAGACTAAAATGTCTCTCACAACTGCCGGCGGACCCGTACGCCCGATTTCAAACTTTTAAAAACTTTACTTTTTCGCGCCATTCGTATTGTCCAATTAGATTGCCCGATTTATTCAGTGCCTAACATGACTTCCTGTTGACCTAGAAATGGCGATATTTCGAAAAATAATTCTCAATTCAACAATTTAAACAGTGTTTTAGTCATTTTTAGTGAACGAATCGTACAAAATGGTGGACAAATACAATCACAACGAAAATGTGGAGGAAATGGATTACGATTTCGAGCTCTTTAGGCTCTTGGAAGCCGATAACGGTCATCGAAAATAGAAACTAGAATATTTTCTGAATTGAAAAATTGAACATTCGATCGCTGCAAATTCAGATTTGGATTCTGACCAGACGAAGAGGCGGAGCGGCGGATTCGGGAGCAGTATTCATGGTATATTTATGCCCAGTCGTGTTAATGTACGAATAAATTCATGAGAACATTTTTTTCATGAGCCAGGCCACTGTATCTTCCCTTTGTGAAAATTTTATCCAGATTCATTCAGTAGTTATTGAGATATTAATTATTTAGTCCAGGCATATCATTTTTTGCACTCTTTGAAAAATAAGCCAGTTGCGTGGGATATATTTGCTGAAATAAGGCAGCATGGTAAAGGTTAATCTATCAAAACATATTTGGTATAACAGAAATATTATTTAAGAAATGGTTGCCATAGTAACCGGAAATCAAGGCACCCGGGGCAAATAAAAAATTGTGCAAGAATAGCCCCAACTAACCATGTTAAAATGCATAATAAGTTATCAAATAAGCTATGAAACACATCAAATTGTTAAACACCATGTATTCTTGACTGTTTTGAACTATTATAATGGTCATATGAATTTCGTGATCTCATAATGGATGATTGTAATGCTTCATTAGAAGTGATGTTAGACACTACAACTGTTTTGTCAAATATTCCAAGGAAAGTCGATTTTCCAATTAGTTCATCTTAAATAAATAATAGACCACACATAGGGTGTAATTTTGTTGATATCTTTGCAACATATTTGTTTTAGATCATCTTTAGTATGAGCAAAGATTTTTCGAACTAAACTAAACTTTTTATCAGTGTGAATATTATTTTTCTGATGATCCCTGCATCTATGCATTATCTAACTCAGTCATTTCTGATAATTAAGCTTTGATTCTCAGAGTCTGGTATCACATCTAATGAAGCATGTAAGCATCCTCTATGACATCACAAAATTCACATGGTCAATTTATTTTATAGTAAAACCATTAAACAACATATTCAAGATAACATTTTAATGTGTTTGATAATTTATGAGAGTTTATTATGTATGTATACAAGGTTAACAAAGCTCATTATATCTCAATTATTTTTTTTGCCCCGGGTGCCTTGATTTCCGGTTACTATGGCAACCCTTACTTATCTAATATTTCTGTTATACCAAATATTTCTTGATAGATTAATACAGTATTGTATACTGCAGATTCTATGAAAATTTCATGAGAATATGTTGAAAAATAAAAAAATTAGAGAGATATTATGAGAACTTTATGATATACCCTCGTACATCTCATATTGAATTTTTCAAAATAGAAAAAAACATGCATAAATAGTTAAGGCATGTAGGTCCGATTCCCCCTGATAGCATTAACGTCTCATATAAGTCATACAATTAATATTTGAAACCTGACTATTATTCAAACTTATCGGATATAAGTATCATGTGTACTTCAATCTAATATTAATAAAGTAACATCATAATTATGTCCGATCATAAGTTTGAATGGAAGTTGTATTCAAAATATTAATTGTATGACATGTTAATGCTACCGGGGTAAATCTGACCTACAGGCCTTGAAATTTTTTCTGTTTTGAAAATTCGATATAGATGTATATTTCTTAATTTTTCAAAGAAATCTACAAATATATTATTGCGGTTTTATTTTACATCGTAATTTTGATCACCACCATCACTTTTTGAACGAGGTTACCTTGAAATATCAAGACGTCATGCAATTCTCATACTTATAGAACTCAATGTAAGTGTCCTTGACCATTTATTAAGCAATTAAAAAATAAATTTGCTTCATGGGTGACAAAATGTTTCTACTTTCCTGGTGAATGTCGAGTCTGGCATCATACGAATTTTAAACGATCTGTCTGCATGGAATGTTTTTAGAATACATAATATTGTGAATCAAATATCCGTAGAATTTTTCCATGTTTACAATAAATAGATCATAATGTTTATATTACTGTATATGTCTTCAATGGACTTACCTGACTTAGTAGGCAGAGGCTTCAGCATGTAAGCAAACTTGACAGACAGATCAACTTTAAACATTTTATTTTCAATGATTAAATAAGCCCTTGAAATGCTACTTCTAAGATTTCCCAAAATGCCACTTTGTTAACTCACAGATTGCAAAACAATGTTGTTTCTGCTTGTCTTTATTTTGTAAAAATAGATCTAAGATACTCTAAAAGGGTGTCTCCCTAGAACTTTCCAATTATAGCAAGTAATTGCATTGGTAGATTTTGTTGAAATAAACACCTCAGAATGAAGAAATATTACCAAAGGTGCTTGACTGTCACTCTATATTTTATGATACAATGTGCCACCATAAATATCCAAATGCTATTACACCAGCTTAATGTTGCAGAGAAACTATTGTAGCAAATCTGATTAATATGAGGTTTAGACACTTACTAAATGATATTTATACTCATTAATGATATATAAAGCACTAATAATATGAATGAACATCATCAATATTTTATGCAATGTAACATTATATTCCATTCTCATATTGTAAAAATGGATTAATACCAATAATACATTACATACCTTGACAACCATGCACCATTTTTACTTTTTCATCTGTAAATGTATCTGTCTTCTCTTTTGTTTTACTGAACCAATTTTTTTGTATATTCAAACAGCAGACACCAAATAATCGTATGCTACTCCATTTTGTGGCTTCCATTTGATTTTGTTAGAAAATATTTACATATCACTAGTGACTCTAGCACAGAGTTGTTGTCAATATCATCAACTAGCTGGTAGACCTGTTTTATTATACAAACTTGCCATTACAGGTTCCTTTACAGCATTGATTGTTCAAATTTCCGTGTAATGCATTATCTTTGTATTGGAAATTTTCTATAGTGTAATAGCAAATGACATAGCAATCAATGCTCTAAGCTTTGAGTAAATCTAACGACTGAGGAAAACATACAGATGTCACAAAATACATCTAGTTCAAGATCATATCTCAAGGGCCTCATTCATTTCCTTGAAGCTTTGAAGTTAAAAATCAATATATCTTTATTTAAGAAAAACCAATCAGCATAAATCAAAATTAAGTGAGCCTCAATTAAAACTTCTTGTTACTATTATTTATGCATTATTCCTATTGATTGTCCTCTTAGAAATGATATGGTATATTATACAATGTTATCAGGTTTCTGATAATCAGAAGTAATTCATCAAGGCAAATATAAAATATTTATGAAGTAAAATATCATGCATACATTTTGTTCTCATAGATGACAATGACTAGGCTGATGCAATTGAATTATCACTCTCTCCTGTCCTGTATTCTTTCTGTAGTAGTTGCCTGCTAATTGTTTCTTATTTGCTTTTTGCACTCATAATTGTTGAGACAGGTTTTGGAAAGGACCAAAAATTGTTACAAAACACAGTAAGAAAAAGTTTAAGCATAGACCAGTCATAAGAAAAACAAACCCGGACTATCCCAAACCATAATCCAACATGAAAAAACAATGTATAATGCCTCCCTCCCCAATCATTCAAGTTGCATTATCACAATTTAGAACCACATGAGCAAGAGATTTCATGAAAATAAATAAGACAGTAAAACAAGGAAATCAAAACAGTAAACTAGTTCAAAATGTAATAGTATTTTACTTATGTGAAATCAATATTGAGCAACAAAAGCATTAAGATTTAAGTCATGTTTATGATATCAGCACATACGAACAAGATAATGCAGTGTTTTCAGTAGGTTTGTCCAAGATTGCATCCCTGGGACGTAACGATTTTCAAAAAATGTGTGTGCCCTCTAAAAACTGCGTCCCTTGAAAAAATGTTCCCGGGAATTCAAAGTCACGCTTTTACACTAACCAAAATAAAATTGATGAAATTTTGTATCGCTTTTGCTATTTATCGGTCTAAATCAGTGTTCTGGTGAGTCTAGTATGTCATTGAATGATACAGATACCATCACTTGTGAGGTATAACTTATATTCAACCATTAGAAACACATTTTCTTTGAACTGATTATGCTTTAGTTTAGGGGCAATCTGCGCGAGGTTAAATTTTTGGTTCAGTTTCTTCCGCATGCGCATTCTTAAATACTGTAAAACGGGTATTGTTAGCGAGGGGTAATTGTTAGCGATCGCTATAGTTTCGCTAAAAATTCAATTCGCTAAAATAAACCGGGCCCTAAAATTTGCAAATTCCCGAGAAACTACATGAATACTAGTATTCAAGGAGCTTTTCGTTCAGCGCTCGACTTCCGGTTTGTAATTTGAAAAAGGTGAATATTTTTAAATCGTATGTTTCTTTCAATATCTGAAGGATAAATAGCCATCCATCCAGTTTGGACCAATACCATGTACGTTAGAAGTCTTACATTTTGATAATTCCTCTGTCATGTCCGTTATACATTCTTCTGCCATAAATGATAAAATTTCTAATGCATTTCGTTAATTTGATTTTTTAAAGATTAATCTTCATTTCGCTTAAATTTCCCGCGCTAAAACCCCCTAAAATTGAAAAATCGCTAAAATTTCCCGGTGTCAAAATTACTCGTTTTACAGTAATGATCTTGTGATCGCACTTGACCAATAGAAAATGGTTTAAATCAGGTTCTCAGCTAGCGGCCAATCGTAAGACTCGTACTGATTACTGCTCGCATATGGAGTATTGGATAACTATTTGTCCTATCACATGCCTCGTACTAATTCGATCAGAAATCAACCGGGAAGGAAACTTCGAAAGAAAATTTTTATTTCTTTTAGAAATAGAATTTCCTTCAATTATTTAGTGGATTCTGACGAAATAAAGAGACTGAAGGTAAGTGGATTCACGGAGTGATTTACGAAATTCAGATTGCGTCCCAAAACGTAATAATTTTTTAAATTTACGTCCACCCAATCTTGATTTACGTCCTCTCCATTGAAGGACGACGTTAATGAAACCTCTGATAATGGAATGGCAGTGTGTGATATAAAGGTATAATGGAATTTACAAAATGTATGATACATCAATATAATGTGTTATAGTATTTTTTGTATAGAGAAAATGATGAACATTGAACTATTCAATGTTTGGATGACAAGGGTTAAATACTGCCAGCTATGATAACAGGTGTATAACAATAAGATGGTATGTTGCACCATTGGTTTCTAATAATACCAATACCAATGAGCTAAAAAAGAATGATTGGCTCCAGATCATCAGCTGCTTGTAAAATATGTAAGGTTTGAGATAGCAAGGTATTTTGATCATAAAACACAAAGGGCAACACCAGAAACACAACATCCATTCATCAATAATCAGAACCAAGTGAACAAATACTTACAAACAGTATTAATAAACTATTCTGAGAAATTTCTTGCTATTTGAATAAGCCTTTCACACCCATGTCTAAATTTTAACAATGATAAAAACCCTGAATTTAAATACTTCACTCTTCTTTAACCAGGAAGATAAGCTGAGTACTAGTTTTCTCTAGCCCATGGGCCAAAACAAAAAGTTTATGTCATGGGCACAATTCTGGTTACCTGATTGATCAAAAAGCCAGTTTTTCAGCCAAGATAAGTACTCTTTGTTGGGCTATCCTTGGTACTCTTGATAGTTAGCCATATTTACTGTTACATAATGGTTATGTTATCTATAATATAAGATTATGTGCTATTATATAATACTAATAAAGATCATTATCATGATAATTTGCCAACAAATACATGGGTTGTTATGTCAACTAGTTATATATTTTTGCCTAACCTTGAGTACACAGGATACCAAAATGATCCAGCTACATAGAAACATGTAAGCGCAAAAGTAGAGAACAAATCAGAGAATCGAAGAAATAAAAAGAAACATAATGGAGGTTAAATTGGTCATACAAAAAAAAAGAAAAACAAACCCAATATCCCATCTTATGATCTAATTAACAAGGAACCACTTATAAAATACTCCATTCAATCACTATTTGATAACCATCACATAATAAATATGCAAGACACAGAAGTCATTACAATATATGTTAAGAAAAATTTATTACTATGAATAAACCATGGATAAAGTATGAATTTTAACTAGATTCACTATGAATAAACCATAAGTATGAATTTTAACTAGATTTTTAAGATACAGTCAGTATAGCAAATTTCAGATCATTGCACAGACCCAGAGCTCTATGTCAAGACAAGAAAGTGTTCACCAAACTCAGTCACATTCTTTACTTATAAACGTATATAAACTATATCAACTAGCCTAACGGGATATTTTTAATAATTAACTTACCCATTTCTCAGATAGTATTAACAGCAATGATCCAAAAACCAATCATCCACCACTTTCTAGTTATCTTGTTCTGAATGTTGGCCTACATACACCTGATGTTACTGATCAAAATCTCATTAACTCTTTAAAGCCAGCCTACAGGAGTTTAATCATTGGTAAGCCCTCTTAGGCACATAATTGCAACTAAGAGGCTATGGGTTAAGAGCTATATTCTTAAAGTGATTAATCATTTATTAAGGGAAACAGGGAATCTTAGTTACTTTTTATTTAGTATTGGTCCTACACATGCAAACCTCACTGTGCATATTACCTCATCTCGACTAAATCTAATTTGCAGCTTACTGTGATGTATATGCAAGATTTAATGACTTGCATATTTGAGGCTTGGATGATAAACATTGCAGCTGCAAACTGCAAGTTTCACATGAATACTGAATAATGGAAATCTGTATTTGTTTACAACTGACAACTTATTAAGATACTCATCAATATAACTGTGATATACTTTTGCATAGAATTAAATGGTAGTCAATAAAATGAAAGTGATCTGTGAATTACATTGATTCATCAAAGCATATCCATTGTTAGTAGAGCTAAGTAGAGAACATATACACAAGGAGACCTTGAACCTTTCAATATAGATATTTATAGGATACAGAACTGCAGAAAATCATATCTGTATAACAGTTGATGCTTTTATGATAACATCATTGAACATTCTATAAATAATAGCATATACAGATTAAATACACTTCAAAGCAGTTGTTTGAAACTATATAGATCAATAACTGTATTTGCTAAACGATATCAAGAATTGAATTGTCGAGGAAGAGCTCTAATTTGACCCAATGTATCATAACAAAAGATTATGTTGAGGGTTTCTCCTTTGAGATATTAAGATATTAGCTAGCTTCCACCAGCTAATAATATACACATTTTTAATAGATTTTTGATTTTTCCCATAGATATTAGCATTTAGTTGCAGCCATTTAAGTTATGCCGAAGCACATTTATCATACTGCCATCTAATATAGTTCATATGAAGTAAAAACATTACATTGATATGCATTTGGAGTCTGCATATTCAGTCTGACTTATTATAATGAAATAATATAAGATAAAAAATAATACAAATACATAATACAATTTGGCTAAATGTACCTAAGTAGCCATTATGTAACAAATAACTTCAATTAATAAAGGTGCACAAAGACTACAGACAAGTTAATAATTTATTTTAAAAA